ATGGGAAGGGGGTGAACAAGAATGAGGCTATATCAACCGTTATTACGGCAAATTATGAGGTCGTAAATCCTTGAAGACGAATTTGCATCAAATCCTGAGTACAAATCCCTTAAAAAACGAATTGTCGCTTACCCATCTGTGTTCATTCTTTTATTGTAGGAGCACACGTTCAAATCACTTGGACGTACGGATTGAGTCTAATGTACCGATATTTGAATCAACATAATTACGAATGTTTACCTTCGGCAGGCAGAATTAAGAAAACTTCGAAAATGCTTGTGCATGAACACAGGAATTATCAGTTGAGAAGCAAACGCTTGAAAACTACTATTAAAGTCGATCATTCACGGAACTTTTGAAAGACAGTAATCTGTTATGATCGCGGGTAAGCAGTTTCTCGAGACATTATTTTTTCTGACACACGAAGCCGCACCGCAGATTACACCCTTTTAGGTAGATTTCAATCAAGTTTTCATCATAACTCCGCTCACGTGGTGGAATTACAAGTCCAGAGAGAGAGAGAGAGAGAGAGAGAGAGAGAGAGAGAGAGAGAGAGAGAGAGAGAGAGAGAATTAATGGAGAAAAACGTCGAACGCTCCATAAAGTCATCAGTATCTGGCTATCAATCTGCGAGCGCATAGCAGCAGCAGTAGATAGCAGGATTCTGATGTACCGTGTGTGGAGTAGAGGGGCCCGACAGGGAGATGTATCGCGTGTGGGGCGAGTTTTTACACTGCACCGAACAAGTCGACTGACCTCGGCGCGCGCGGCTGTAGTTCAATTAGAGACGCGAGCTGCGGCATTATTCAACGGGAGGTAACTTCAGGATAATGTAAACCAGCGAGAGATTTTCTCTATAGAGACGTCAGTAAATAGTCAGACGTTGCGTCTCCGCGTTGGGTAGCACGGCGAGTCTCCCGTGCCAACACTCGCCACGCAGACCAAAGGTCCGACGATCTATCCGATTGTCTTGTTTCGTTTGGTCTCGACGGCATTCGACCAAAATACTCGCGGGCTCAACAAACTCTGACTTGTTGATCCAACATTTCCACTGTACGTGTTGCAAGCGTGCCAAAACTGAATCTACAAAAGAAGCCGGTTGGCGAGAGCAAGCGCGTGATCATCCGAATGCACTGATAGTAAAGGAGCAGAAAGAAGGAGAGTAGGTAGATAGATCGCGACACCCACGCGACCGGCTACGTTGCGCGTGGGCCAGCTTAAGGTAAGAGGAGGCCGAAGCGCGAATAATATCCGGCGTCCGATCCTTATTAAGAGTCTCGTAGTGGATGCGGGAAGCGCGCACTGTTTGCTCAATGCGAATACGTGCGCGCCTCGATGAACGCTAAACGGAGAAAGCTCCGCGGCAGCAAACTGCCAATTGATTTTTATATTAGGCGGGCTAGGCGCTTCTCGCCTTGAGATAAATCTAAGTATTTACGGAATGAACGCGATCTAGCTTAGCTTGAGTTTCGAGCGCGCGCTCACTTCCTGTGCGATCCCCCGGCTCTGCCGTTAAAGTGTCTCGCTTGCAATTAAGAGATACACGCCTGCGAATCGGCACAATTAGATTGCACACGCGAGTGAACGAGCAAAAATTAGCTGGGCTTTCTCGCTATTAGTTAGAGTGCTCAGGAAATAGCAGCACGTGTGCAGAAGGAGTGCGAAGATCGATTTAGGGCCGATCGATCTCGGATCCGTTAAAGGACAGCGAATGAGTCAGGCGTGACATACGATTATTGAATGAAAGACAACGAGCTAGTAATTACGACATCGTCTCCTTATTTCGCTTTCTTACTTTTTACTTCCAGGATTGATGCTCTTTACAAATTGCCAATGAGATGCTTATTTTTATTCGAGAAGAGTATAGTGTTTGACGACTTGATACATTAAAGGAGCGCATTTACTTGTAATTACTTCGTAAATATTCAGAGCGCAGTGGAGAGCCATGGCGGGAAAGGGCGACTTGCATAGGTACGACAGTGGTAGGTAGGCATGGCGAGACTGCAAAGTTAGTGTTTTCACGGCAGAACTTGCTCGAGCGCGTAAGTGGGTCAACCGGTTGAAGCGCCGAATCAGCAAGATTTCCGCAGCAGTCGATAGCCCCGCAACTCCTTACCAAGCTACATTCATCGATCCGACCATTTTCCGCAAATGAGTTGCTGCCATCTGTGCCGTCGTCGTGTTATTATTATTTTTCTCTGCAAGCGCGCATAGTAATCGATGAAGGCACGCGCTGCACGTATCACCCGGCGCGTTCTGTTGCCGGAAGCGCGCACTTAACCCGAATACGCGGCTTCCGGGTCATGCAGGGCGCGCGCGCGAAAGAGCGAGCGAGAGACCGAACGAAGGGGCAAACGAGCAGCTGGTCCGCTGAGGCGTCGCCTCGCGCACGCATACCGCAATTCTGCAACTCGACGCGTCTCTCTTGCAGCTGCGCAACCTTTTGCCAATGACTGTTATACTTCTCCGCTGGCCACAGTTACGTCACACTTGTACGCGCTTCGTTTCTTCTGAGCGGACAAGATTTTAGATCTAAGCCTGTCGCTGTTCCTGCTACAAGATCCATCCGACAGTTGGCGACAAAGCCGAATTTCATTTGGACAATGAATTTTTCTGATCAGAAAACGCAACATGGAGAATTCCAAGAAGCAGTCATTAGTGTACTCTACAGTCACTCGCACGTGTTCCCTTTCCCATTGGCCATCCATCGTGCTGCTTCTTTGATGTTCTTTTGTTGGCTGGTTTTGTACACGCGTGCGCGCGTGAAACAGCAAAACAGCTACGGCCAAAAGGATTGGACTCCTATGGAGGATCCACCAATGGTAGGGCACTAGCAGCGGCAGTGGCGGCGCTCGCACTGCGTCGCGACGTCCTGCCAGGAGAGATTCGATCAATACCGAAACGTGGAGGCGGCAGTCGATTCTACTGGTGGTGGTGGTGGTGGTGGTGGTGGTAGTGGTGGTGGTGGTGGTGGTGGTGGTGCTACTGCCGCTATTGCTGCTGGCGTCGAGAGGACGCTGCTTTTCCAAATTCGTGCGCGCAGCATAAACCCCAGACTACGTATACTCGGATCTGATCAAAGTGCTTTTTATTACTTGGACAGAAGATGACTTTCGTTCTTCAAAGCTACCTGTCAAAAACATATTTTTGCTAACCTTCTCTAATCGTGCATTGGATTAGTCTATAATATTCTGGCGATGCATTTAAAACGGACGCGGCAGGCTGTTCTTCGGCAACATAATGCATGTGCTATTGGCCAGTGTGCGAGCGCGGGATGGTCAAGGACGCGCTGAATCTTTCAATGACTTTTTTTAGCTTCCCTCAAATGCTATCAATTTAAAAGTTTTTTGCTCCAAAGGTCACAGTATCAGTTGCGCTCGTGCGCCTTTGCCGATTGTTCCTGGGTGTGGGCGTTTACCATTCATTAGCTTAATAGCTCTCGCCAGCCGTTTTATTTCGAGTTAATGATCCGTATTGCAGTACCTGTATCACACACGGAATCATTCCATACTGTTAATTTCAACGATGTTCCGCTAGATCGTTTATCGCTAATTGTTCGCCCGAGGAAAAGAAGCATCATCGTATATACATTAGTTTGCTCGGCTCATCACACCAAAGCGCTCTCGATTGTGAAAGTCGCACTCGCGAAGCTCTCTGACCTTGCTCTCGTTGAGAGAACAATAAGGTTGACTTGCGCAGGCTCGACCGGCGTACGTGTGAAATAGAAAAGATTCGAAATAAAGCACGTCGAGCCTTTGACTCAGTGCCGTTCGACGCCAGTGAGCCCGCAGAAAGTGTGAACTTACTACGGATTAGTCGTTTACAACAATCCATTTTTTTACTGCTTAATGGTACGAGTCAAACTAGCCTCACTAACCACCAAGCCAAACTGTGTGAATGTAGTCTACTTTTTTCCTCGCAGCGAGCGATCAAAGCTCATCTCGCGCTATCTCGTTTGGCACAACAAGATTATTGAACAAATGATGTTACATATCCCGCCTGCGGACGAAAATGATAGTTGAAGGGACAATTCGACGGAAACGAATAGAGAGTGCAACGAGAGAGGCAGCAAATGCAATGATAAAAATGATAAATCAAATGGAAAAACGATCATCAAATGGAGAGAGAGAAAGTTAGATAAGGCAGGCGATAGATTGACAGTTGTCCACTCGTTGAAAGATACGATTGCGTTCCGCTGTCAATGACGTCGATGACGATGCTGTTTGCAGCTGGGCAGCGAGTACATCGACCCACGACGCAACGTGTCCCGATGCCGCAGACAAAGTTCGACTACGATGGTATATCCTCTCAAAGCTCCGAGGCGCTTGCCAAGCTGCGAGAAAGGTTATATGTATATCTATTTCTGGTTCAGGAATGCCAGAAATGCCGGCCTACGAATAACACGACGACAAACCGAATAATCTCGCTCTATAGCTTTCAGAGGCAGCTTGGAAGACGTGGGGCGCGCGTGCCACAGACGATTTTTATGGTCTTTCTCCACCCACCCTCTTTAAAATATAAGCCCAACCCATCGAACAACTGTGCCTGGGTGTATATTTAAGAAGCAGAAAAGCGCTTTCCCTTGTTTCCTTTTTAGGGCCATATCCATTCCGACGAATGCACATTGGTGTGTTGGAGCGCGCACGCCAGGATGAATTCATTATAAATCGATTTACTCACCTAATGGAGGTTAGGCTTGAAGCTTTCGTGGCAACCTGCAATCAGAGGAGAAAATGCGTTAGAGAACAGCTCGGCCATGTGAACGTAGTCATTTGTCATAAGTAGCGTTTATAAGTCGGCTAGACGGACTCAACTCGCGCAGTTTATCAAGGATTACGCCAACTCGTACTTTCAACAAGCATCGATGAAAACAGTGCCAAAGGAGAAAAAAGACAAAATGCATCTCTCATTAGAGAAGTCTGAATTTACGAGTGTCCGTCTGCGAGACCGTGCGACACAGACGACAAACTCCGCGGACCATGAATCATACAAAGTGAAATTGAGCGTGGACAATGCGCTCATTCTCTGGGAATTAGCGGGGCGCAATTTTATAGCCTGTCGAATGGTGTGCACGCGCCTCGTCGTTGCAAGAGAAAGCGGAAGCGTAGGCGTGTACCATTGTGCGCGCACTAGCGAGCAGGTGGCGAGAAAATAAAATGCGCTTGATAACTTTGTCGCGCGCGTTGGGCGCCTGAGTTCCCAACAGACAGCCTTCATTATATGTTGTTGTTTGTACAGGGAGGATGCGCACTAATATGCACAGATGCTTTCGTTTAGATACCAACTTTTCCAGGCTTCTTTTTTTCTTTTCTTTACTTTGTCTTTCGTCCTGTTGTTTGCTCGCGTCTGACACGATTCGCGCAATTATTCGCTAGAAGATTGTCTATCGACGTAATATTTACTTTCCACCGAATCTACGGACCTGCCTTCAACATCGTCAACAGTTTATCGAAAGAAAGTTTCCGTTTTTATTTTAAAGAACCGCTTGATCGATATATGAATTTATAAATGCGTCACCCACTTTACTAAGCAGCCAGCCGTAGATACAGAACACGCGTAAGAGAAACCACAACTCGTCGAAAACACGCGCGCTCCACCACTATCGATCCGACGAGCGTGGAATTCGCAGAAAAAACTAACCTTTAGGCTCTTTTTTTTTCTTTCCTGCCCAACGATTTTCTCCCTGCTAGCCCCCTCGTGCTGTGCCAGGTAACCGCACTCTCGTATATTTTAACCTATGCTGCCGTATACGTGTCCTCCTATTTAATCATTATCAATTGAAATCAATTATTTAACTTGCCAGCATTACGATTATCTTAATTTTTGTCACCGGTTAATTATAAAATCCGACGCTGAGATCAATAACAGTACTGCCCGAAGAAGTCACCACCTCGGCGCAACAATAAAACAGACAAGAAAACGAGAGTCCGAAATAGCGTGTGCATGCAGTACGATTACCGTCACACGCACGCGCATACGCGCACGCGGTTCCTCTTTCTACCCCGCGCCCTCGCATAAACATTGACTCGCGCGTGCACTGACCTCTCGAGCGCCGAGCCACAGCCACGCACGTGCCAAGCTCTCTTTCTCTCTCTCTCTCTCTCTCTCTCTTCGTTGCATAGTGTGTACATCTAAAGATTTGCCAAGCTTATACGCAATCGACGCTATCTTACACGCCACAATGATACACATCCGTTCTTTGCGTGCAACTTTATTCGAACGGTAGTTCTGTATAGTCCGTAATGCGTCGAATGAATTCATAAAGTGTTAAAAATGATCTACCCAAACATCTTTTTTCAACTGAATTATCATAATTACTGCGTTTGAGATTATACCAAGATTCAAATGGAAATTTAAGTGGCTCGTTACGATGCCTGAGGCGCGAATAAAAAAAATGGCTAGAGCGAATCTATGAGTCACGTTGATCGCCTTGAACTTGAATTTTATAAGGTAAACGTCTAAAACTTTGTAGATCAACCGACATTGATCAAATATAACAGTAAATATGAAACACATAGAGTTTCAACAGTCGATATCAGTTGCGACAAGAGTATTTATGGAAATGACGATCGATTCTCGACGTGTGCGTATTCGTTCGTGACGAAGTAATTTATAAGCATTTGCGATTTGCTCTGTTGAATAAGACTAGACTTTCGAAAGCATTGACAATAAGCTTTTGCAAACTGAACTAACTGCTGCCACGACGTGATGGCCGTGCAAGCAAACAGAGAGGGAGGGGGAGGGGGAGAGAATAGATTAAGAATAATTACGGTTTTGTTACTCGGCGATAATGGAAAGCTGAAGCAGTAAGGTGACATATCGCTAGTGGTGGTGCAGCGGGTGCAGACGCATCGGCTCTCTTCTTCAGTCGCCCGCGTGTGCAAACATAGTTTCTCTCTAGCTCGGGCAAATGAAGGAGTGACAGGTGACCGCGGCTGTCGATCGGCCCCCCTTCTCTTTCTCTTGGTCTCTCTGGCTTACCTGTCCCTCTTGACGAAACGGAAAATGCCTAGCTCAGCGAACCGAAGAAGAAAGGAGTGAGCAATGACTTGATAATTGGACTCGAATTTCTCCCCCTCCCCGTTCCCCTCTCTCTCTCTCTCCGACGCTAACAAAAAGAGAAAAAATGTGCCTGTGCAAAGTCTGCGCGCCGAGAGCTTGAGTGGCCACTTCTAGCAATGCCAAGAAAAAGCCTATCTTTTGTCCATTAAAGGACGGAGGCGCACCGACGGTCAACAGGATCCCTGGAGAGCGATGCAACTACTTCAGTTACTCGCAGCTTATACCTATGGATCGATCGATCCAGTTCCTTCAGATTTCTTCCCACCTCGGCTGTTATCGCGGCAGTACAGGGGGCTTGGCCGCCTCGCGGTTGTTAAGGCGATTTCACCGCTGAAAAGCTTCCGGGCGGCTTTTGCGTGCGTGCATGCGCGACCTGACCTAATTTTTCACCGAGCTGCCAAAGAGCTCCCGCATTGATTCTCCAGTTTGCGCGACAGCACGTCGATTAATCGGTGCCGCGCGGCTACTAGTTTTCCCGAGCCTCGAAGACTTGCAACGCCTTTACTCGTACTGCCAATAGTGATTTTGATAATTTTGCGCGCGTTTCCAATGAGAACTACAGCCGGGAAAAGGCCTAGGAGAAAGAAGCGACCGAAAAAGCCAATTTCCTAAGTTTTGACAGTCGACCGCTCTCCGAGCATGTATCTCTGAGTCACGCGCTCGTTATCCGAGATATAGCTCGTCCGTATATATGTGTATCAAGCAATAACTAGAGCCCCGCCCTTCCTACACCCTTATCAAACTCGTACTCTTACTTACACATATCTTTCTGGACGACGGAATGTCATAGAGCACACGTCAATGGGACTATTTCGTAAGCATACGCGAGCAAAATGAAGACTCTTCACGCTAATTACGGGTATAATTTGCTAGTTGTAGCTTGACCGATCGGTACGGCGAAATTGAGTCTAGGGGTTATCGCTTTCGTGCTTTCCTTTGTCGGTACCCCGAATACAAACTCAATCCGATTACTTATCATCCGAGCAAACTGACTAGATTTATCGAGCTAGAAGACACACTTTGCCATATATTATACTTGGGAGACTCGTCGTGTCGACTTTGATTCATTACGCCGTCTTTTTTTCTTGTTTGCGAGAGCCCGCTAATAAGAAGCTTCATTTTCGCACTCTTATCGTTTTGACGATTACGATTTTAAAACTGGTAATCGTATTTGTTCCATGCATTAATGCGCTTTTGATGTGCCATGACGATACTCTTATTGTTTAATGTCACTGAGCGAGTGCTATAATTCATAACGAATTATAGCATTCGCTACGTGGAAGAAACAGCTGCGTAACTATATGTAGTCACGAGCGTCACGCGTCAAAAATCAAAGTTTAACCTTCATCTCCAAATAGTTTTCTCACATTTCTTCCCATCAAAAAACGTCTCTATCTGTGTAACAAAATAATGTCTCGCGATTTTAAAGCCATGTTCACTTTTTTACGAAAAATGTATTCCATGAACCTTAAATAATCTTTTTATAATTCTGACTGTAAAAGTTGTGAACTATTATTATAAATAGTCTTTCCTGGAAATATATTTCGTTCAACAGTCAATGAATGGTAACATTACTTTGCCGAAGTAATATATTGCGATAGATCTTTCGAAAGAAAAAAAAATTAAACTCAAGCCGTAAATTCAAAGTGAATTTATGAATGAGATTAGAGAGCAAATGAGAAATTTTACAATGAGTATGATAAGTGAAAATACTCATGTCTGTAACATCGCATTGGCCCAGTTCCAAAGTAGGAGTTTGCGTGCTGGACGAAAATAAGTGAATCAGCTGGCCCGCGTCGGCTTTCCGAAATAGAGCGATTCAATTTTTCACGAATATAAATCACATTTCGAGCTTATTCTACGGGGCAAGTAAGCTACGCACATTCTCATGACAAGATTCGGCATAGGTGGTCATTTAAACATAAAATAGACTCTACAGTTACACGTTCAGTTGCTCGATAATACAATACTACTAAATATGATACGTCATTAAAGTACGATCAGGTGTTGCATGCCCAATAAACCTATAACTCGTTCACATATTTACGTTGTACGAGGTTGACCAAAAAGTCGTAAAGATGGCAATGGATGCAAAGTTACGCAGTATACACACACGTGCAAAGTAACAATTGTATGTACGAAGGTGTGAAATAAACGTGAGGTCATGCTATAATTGGATAGTGAGGAAGATTGGATGACACTCTTGCATCATGGTTTGATTTTAGACTCTTGAAAAAGGACGGCGACTTAAAACTGTTAAGAATGTAAAACAGTCATGAGAAAGTGCATTTTACATAATCGCACGTATGCATAGCTGCCTTCTGGGGCGTGTCGAAAAATATCATTAATACTTCATGCTCTTGCGCACCACGCTATCTTTTTCAGATTCTGCAAAGCAGATTATGTGTTTGAGTGCTCTGAATTGCGCCGCCATGAAATGTCTGCGTCGAAGAGAAGTCGGCCAAGTGCAATTATTTTCAAGTAAAAACAATAAATTGGTTGAATTTTTAAGCCTCGAAAGTATACGACCTCGCAATCCACGCAAATACAACTACCACTTTATATTATAGCCTAAGTTACGTTTCTATACCCGTGCATTCTTTAGGTCGGATAGTTAGTTCTACCCTATGGTACCAAGAAACAATTGTGATAAAGTAGACTCGATATTCATTCTTGTTCGGCCGTATGTTTTAAAAATTATTAATTTTAAATTATCACACCGAATATTTTTCTGTTGGCACTAAAGCGGATAAAGTTCAATACTGCCTTTCACCAAAATAAAATGCTTTAATAAATGATAGGCTGTAAGTTAGCAATCTTGATAGCTGTTAAGGCTATTAAATTACCTGAAAAAATAATGGCGACGTCAAGTGGCGATCGTGTATTTCTTTTTACCACCTTCAGAAAAGAAAGGAATGATTAAGAGATAGTCCTTATTTTCATCGGATGCTCAAAAAATAATAAAGCCGAGGGCGAGGTTCCGATTCAAAAATTCTAAGCTCCGTCATCGCGCTGCTAACTCGCGCGCGCTCCGGCATCCCGGTGATGTCATGGTTTAAACATAGATTATCGCACATGTATATGGGAGAGTGTGTGCGGGCCGAACTCCGCACCGCCGCTGCTGTTATACGTGCCATTCGTGAAGAGAAAATATCAACGTCGCTTCAGCTTTTTTAACTTTGTTGCTAATTCCGTATACATTCGTTGATCACTTACTAGAAAACTACCTTATATCTGCTTACATTTTTATTTTTTCCATTATTAATTGCATCTTTTAGTTGAATATGATTTGCAATGCACATCATATAATCGTCCTGATAATTAGCCGATATCCTATTGAACAATTTATATAAGAATTCCTGCTCGATGTTTTAATATTATTTAGTCGAAGTCCTTATCGATTAAAATATTCAGTTCAAGTAGATACGCGACGCGGGACGTTATCTCAAGTGTGTTTCACTCCTGCAGTCTTATTAAATAATTACACCTCAAAATAACGCCCACAAAATAATAACTGGCTACATATATGTAAGTATATATATACATACACACACATACGTATGTGTGTGTGTGTCACTCACCACTCGGAAAATAAAATGTGGTCTTTGCGCTGAGCATTTGTTGTCACAGGAGATACATCAAGCAAACAATTAGCATCTGCTATTCTGATATTCGACACAGTATCAACAAACACTCACTTAACATAACAAGAGAATCATTGTAGGCCAATATCAGTAAAGGCAGCTACGCGGCACTCGGGTGAACAGCTCGAGTCGAACACTGGGCGAGGGCCTAACCTCAAATCACAAACGTATAGTTTTCTCGTTTATTAGGACGTAAGAACATGGCGCACACGCACTTGTTAAATTTCTTCCCTCGGCTGAACCGCCCTCTCTCAATTGCGCTCTCGGCTGTCGCTTTTGTTTGAAAAACACTGTGAGAAGGGCGCGGCGTGTGCAGCAATAGCAGCACCAGTCTCGCCGGTGACGATAGTGGCTCTGTGGTGTAGTTGCAGCCGGCAGCAGTCCGAGCTTCGACCGTGGTTCTCTCTCTCGCGCTCGACAAACCGGCTGAAATCAAGCGAGACAGCACGCCAGCCAATCATGAGCAACACTCGCTCTCTTTCTAGACGCCGGTTTTTGTGTCTACAACGCCGTTTTGTTACCTCCACGATCGTCAGCCAGCCAAATAATACCCATGCTTCACTTCTACCTATATTCCATTGTTTCCTTCAACTGCACATTTCACGATAATTGCGTTGGCTTTGTCAAACATAGAGCTTCATCGAATCACGATCAGTTGCTTCAAGTTGACTTACGACATTCCACGAGCATTTGTTTTGATTTTCAAATATTTTTCCGGTCTGTTTGTCACTTTACATATCGGACTCCCATTCGTAGAAACGTACAGAATGGGGCATAAGAAAAATTTGTTATGAGTAGAGAATTTTTGAATGATCTACCTTGATACGATTCGCAAGACCGTTCGTGTTCCTTTTTCTGTGTTCATTTGTTGATAAACAACGAGCGCCTGTTTCCGATAATAATTGACAAATGGAATTGCATTTTTTTAATTACCTGAAGCATAATGTTCACAGCCGTACATTGTTTTTCGCGTTCGATCTTTCTCCTGATTGAGAAAATGGCGGCGAATTTCGACAGACAGAGATATCACTCATACAGAGCAACAGACGCACAACGACATGTTGAGTGTAGAGAGAAAAGAGGAAGAGAGGACAAGGAAAAGAGAGAAAGAGGCGACGCCGCCGGGCCCGGCCGCGTACGGCGATCGCCGTGGCAACGGAGCTCAGCCTAACCTCAAACAAGGGAGTCTTAAATAACGGGTTAGAACGTTGTCGCGTGCGAGGTCTTTTCCATCGGCCGTTTGGAGTTTCGGATTTGCAACACATCCCTAGATTAAATCTCTCGTCGAAAGCGCTAGCGATTACTATCGTTGAGTTGATTCTGCATACTCTTCCCACTACCTCGTTCTTTCTCTTTCTCTCCCTGTGCGTGTGCGCATCGTAAGAGAAGAGAGTTAGAGTTGACTTTTCAGAAAAGTAAAAACCGACCGACTTCCCCTAAAAGTTCAGAGAGATATGCATACAAGCCTAGATTAGAAGTACGTTCCAACGAGCGTAATGATAAGCGCGGGGTGGAAGGTATGAATAGCTATGGTGAAAAGAGCGCCGGCGGCAAGCAGGCAGCGAGTAGGTATATATGCAGTTAATGATGGACTCACCGCAAAGTAAACAGTCACTGTGAGACTGGACTTGTCCCTCACTCTCTCTCTCTCTCTTTCTCTCTCTGGATCTATGGAAGGTGCCGTCCGTGCGGCGAGCAGCCTCCCTCGCTGATAAACTCGCTTGCTAGGTGCTTTTTCCAGCGAAGGCGTCGTCCTCTCGGCGGGGCGTTTCACTTTACAGTCCCCTCTCTTTCTCTCTCGTTCGTCCGTGCTTAGTCGCTTGGTCGTCGCGCGCTTTCGCAGACCTGCCTCAGGAAATTCGATGGCTACTAGCTCGCCGAGTTAATGGCATTATCGCCGCAGCGGTTAGCTCGCACGACGAACACATACACGACCGATACACCACGTCCGAGATGAACCGCCGCTCACGGAACACTGCCTCTTTTACGTTTAACGCTCCAACTCACGCTCGCACTGATCCCCGGCCTGCTTGTCTGCCTATATCTACACTTCAACTCAAGCCTCAAGCGGCTCAAGCCTCAAGCTTCTCTCTCTCTCTGTCTTTCTCTCAGCCGTTTTGTTGCACGCGGCATACGCAAGAGGGCGCCTCCTCCCGTCTTGCTTGGCACAGCACAACTGCACAACCTGCCAATACTACTTTGCTTTGCACCTTGCTCTACATTTTGATAAGTGCCCATTAAATTGTCACTGAACACTTATAATTGTGTCAATTTAGCGTTGTTAATTCACTTTCATCAGCTACTTTTGCAACTTTTATAGCTGTAACATACTAATATTATCTCTACTTAAATGTCATTGTTTCAATCCATATCTGATTTGTGAGGATATTTAATGATCATCAATAGGAAAACTTTAGATATATTTTTTACGATAAAACTAATAAGTTTGTTCTAGACTTCACCTTCGTTTGATATATTTGGTTCATTTTTTATAGGTCTAAGTATACTATTCCCGCCTTGTTTCCACGTTCCGCAATTAGAAAACTTCCTGTTTACCAACAGCAGATAATTTCAAGGTGTAGTAGATTAGTAAATCATTGACAAGGTAGATGGCTACATCTCGTCATAAAAGTACGAAGTATTCAATTTTTAAATAATCAACTTCATACATTAGATTTTAAATGAAAACACTTTAATTAAAAAATATAATTTTTAATTACTTCAAAGTCTATAGAAGAAAAAACGTTTATATTCATACATTAATTCTAACTAGCAAGTTTCTATACTATTTCGTATTGCATGGTACAATTGGACTATTATAATTTTATATAAATTCATTTCACATTGAAAATTGAAATGATTGTAATATACTTATAATAAATTTACAATGAGTAGGTACTCAAAAATAACTCAATAGTAAAACAGCTCCTATTTCCTGTATACCGCGAAATCATGTTGATACTAAAACATTTGATGAAAGATTGAATAACGAAATATCAAATGCTTTATATGAAGTTTTAATGTCAATATTATTAATTCAAGCTACAACGATTGTTAATATTATTGTAACTGCTGATTTTAAATAATGAGCACTTTCTGCTACCAATTTGATATTACGCAACATCATAAGGTAGCTGAATACTTCTTCTTATGAATTAATGTTATATAACTGCTACATGAATTCGCACTAGCTTTACTGTATATAACTTTAACTTTTAAAAGCTACAAATGACCACGTGTCATTTCTACCTTATGATATAACTCTTTAGTAAATTCATAATATTTTACATATCTTTAAGATGATACTAATTAGCCTGATTTGTTACATGCCAATTGTATGCTAGATTTTTACAGTTTGTTCTGTGATCTTTGATGCTAAATACGTTACCTTAAGAAGATAAAAAAATATTTAGAATATAAATTTTCATAATTTACTACGAGCCGAATCGTAAAATAAAAAAAAACACTGAGGATCCTTTTGAAAAGAAACTTTAGTAAATTCATAATATTTTACATATCTTCAAGATGATACTAATTACCCTGATTTGTTAAATGCCAATTGTATGCTAGGTTTTTACAGTTTGTTCTGTGAGCTTTGATGCTAAATACGTTACCTTAAGAAGATAAAAAAATATTTAAAATATAAATTTTCATAATTTACTACGAGCCGAATCGTAAAATAAAAAAAAACACTGAGAATCCTATTGAAAAGAAATGCCCGAAAATTCATAAGTAAATAATGGCCAAAAATGTTACCTGAAATTATAGCTATAATAGTTATAGCTATATAGCTATAAAAGTTTAGAGCAGTGATTTCAGGTTTAGAAAACGCATTTTACTTCATAATTGTGAAAACTTTTTATTGCTTACTTTAAATTTTTTATGTATTCGGGGTTGCTTCTTCTGAAAATTATATTTTTAGAGAAAGTTCGGATCCCAAAAATGTATGCATGTGTGTTGGTATATGTGAATGTCTTGAACATTGGTACATTTTACTGTTCATCAGCTCCAGCAATATTTATGCAACTCAAAAGTAACGTTTCTCCTCTCTAAAACCTAAATTCATTCATTTTTCAAAACCATCAGTCGATATTTTTCAAAGTTATTGCAACTTTTCTTTACGTTAATTTTATCAGATTTTTTTCATTTCTGTTCATCTTTCTTTAGTAAACAATCGAACACATTTTGAAAGCGATTAATCTACATTTAGAAGATATATTGAAAATTTTCGATTTTTTTCATTATTTCATATTTTTACATTTTCAGCAATATTGATTTCGTCTAAATGCGTCTGACTGCAATCATTATGAAACTGGACAACCATTTTTCTACTCGCTCGGCTTAAATCTGAAAACCATTTGAAGGTATATAGGCGATGTGTCAATATTAAAAATGGTTCTGTTGACTTAGGCATTTGTTGATGGCAAATACTTGATGCAGGCAAATAAAATTTTACATTAAAAATATCTAGATTTTCGAGTGGATACCCAATATATTATTAAATTTTATTATTCAATGTATAATCGTTTTGCTTCTCAAAATTTGAAAGTAGAATATATATATAAATAAAACAATAATGAAAATTAAGCTTTTTTCCATTCGAAAAGTGTAGGTTTACAGAGAATTTCGAAGGGGGCCTTTTTATGGTTGGTTAAACTTGTCTTCTTTTCCAATTATCCCGATGACATTGAAAAATTGTGATTTCGTTGCCGTTTTTACAATCTAATTAGAAAATTTAAGTTGAAAAATGCGTCATTAATTTTGCTACTTCGTGTAACTGGAAAATTTGAAATTCATATTTTTGTATAAACGGTTTTCCTGAAAAGACTGAGGTCAGCGACATGTTGAAAATGATGCATACCTGTGTTTGAATCTGACTTTCATTAAAACCTTAATATTGGATTTTTCTAATTTTCTTTTTATTATAAAGATTTTTCTAATTTATAACCTTTAAAAGTAAATTTTTTAATTATTTCAACATATGATTTTTAAAAAATAAAACAGATATTAAGTTTTAAAAAAGTCAATTTATATTAGAAAAATTAAAACTACATGAAAATAATGATACACGAAAAATTAAATTTTCTGTACATTAAAAAATTTCAGTGTTCTTCAAAAAAGCATAATGCTAATACAAATATCAACAAATCTGTTAGTTTGGTATTTTCTTTATAAATGAAAACTTGTGCCGTGAATATTAAATATAAATGTTTAGCATATTATTTTTACAATAATCTAATCATAGCTATAGATATGTGTCTGCAAAATTTTCTTTATTCCACTGGAATTCTCTGCCCCCCCCCCTCCCGCTACCGCCGAAAAGAATTGAACAAATTTTATATATAATTTGTACATATATTATTCCTATATATTTATTCCGCAAACAAGGTACAAAATATGTACAAATATTTTTTGCACATATTTAGCATGTATTAAATACAAAAGCGTACATATTTTATATATATTATGTACAAAATAAACGTAATATCATTCCAAGTTAATACGAATTAAAAAGTAAAATAAAAACAATTTTATATTTAATAGTTAAGAAAAAAGTGTTGTTCAATTCTTCCTATTAAATATTAATATTAAAAATATTCAATATTTTTAATATTTTATAAAATCAATTGTGATGTATATTCTATTTCTCATTATAATTGCATTCTTTTTGTCTATTTTACCATCTATTATAAAATTTAATAACATAAAATTTTGAATACTGCAAAAATATAATCACTTTAATGACGTTTTATGGTGGCTCCCGCGAGTTGTCCATGGGAAAAGAAAATAAACAATACCTTTTAAATTATAACATTTAAGCTTTTTTGTGAGATTTTAATAAAAAGTGATTATCGATCTAACTTATGAGAAATTATAAAAGGGAAAATATAAAAATTTGACAAGATAGGTTAGATTAATACGTTCATGTATATTCATTTATCATATATAATTTAAAAACTAACTAATAGATTCTTCCAAAAACCATTATACTATTCAAGAAAACTTACTGAAACCATATTAAAAGAAAAACGCATTGATTATCGATCTAATCAGTAAGATATCTCATAAAAGTTATATCAAATAGATGTATTTTAGAAACGAAAAGTCAGAAGGGGGACTTACAAAAATATTATTTCTAGTATTTTTATTATTAAATGACGTTAAAGATATTTCAATGACTAGTTGAAATTAGAATTATTTTATAAACTTATTTCTGCCAAAAATTTCACAGTTTGATAAAACTCTCAACGGGACCCCTTCATGATATGAAGCAGCGCGTAGGAGCCACCTTAATTTATACTGCTACACTTCCAACGTCAGTCGTATTAATATCAGCTATAAGTTCTTTATTTATTTTAGGAAAATTAAAAATTTTATTAGTTTTCAACCTATTTTTAGTTTTGATATAATTACAAACACATATTTAATATCTAAACTTATATCAACTATATATTTATTTATTTTCATAAACATACTATTTATGTACATATATAAATGAATTAATTGACCACAGTTTTTCTTTCACGCAGACAGCGAAAATACAGTTATGTTTCATATGATTTTACATAATTTTCCTTCAGATTTCGTAATTGGCCTATTTCATTTTATAACTATAAAATTTTCCATGGTTAATCAAATGAGAGTAAAAGAGTTGACCATGAAGTTTATATAAATTAATTAGCAAGTGACAGCATGAAAGATAGAGAGCTGTATTGCCTATTTCAAAGAACTTTATATTTTGTTATTATCAGAAATATGACATTACTATTAACCGCATGCTTTCATTTACAAGTTTAGATAAGGACAGATTGTCAGTAAAAACCAATTGAATTGAAAATAATATCTAATGAGATGTCTTAATGAAGATTTATTACAATTTCAGTTGTCGATGTGAAAAAATTTGAAAATAAGCTCTAAAACAGAGCAGATTATAAACCATTAGGTACATATGAAAGGAAGTTAACCGATTTAAAATTCCGAAGATGTACAGATTTCAAACACTAGATTATATATATTTCAATAGTATCATGCGCACCTCGGCCAGGAAATAGGCGAGC